GCAAATAATAGAAATAGGTCGGTAGTTCTTAATGTCAGTTCGATTTCCATTTTTAAAAATCGGACATACTTTAGAGCTCTTCCACATGGACGGAATAGTACTAGAACGGATGCAAATATTGATCAGGATTGTCAGAGGATAAGCGAGTACTTGGGCACAATCTTTCAAAATGAATGCAGGAATATGGTCGGGTCCCGTAGTACGCTTAGGTTTTATAGATTTTAATGCGTCAAGTACCTGGCTTTCGTCAAAACTGTCAATATTTAAACAAGTTGATTGAAGTTCATTCACATCAACATGAGAAACTTTAGAATGAACGTAGGACTTGCTAAAAAGATCAGCAAAACTATTTAGTATGTCAGCAGGATTATCCAGTGTATTATTTTCATAGGTCATGTTATTAGCAACTTTACTAGAACTTTTTCTACTGTTGACGTAGGCCCAAAACTTGTTAGAGTTAATAGATATATCATTCTCTGCTTTTAACAGATAATTTTCTTGTGCCGTTTTAATTGCAATTTTAACTTCAGCTCTTATGCGCTTAAATTTTTCGAAAGCCCTGATATCATTGTCTTTTTTATATTGACGCCAAAATTTTGATTTTTCTCTTATTTTTTTAATGATACTGGGATTAAACCAAGGAGGATATGTTTTTTTATTATGCGCTGAATAATTGGGTACGCAACGATCTAACACATTATACAACTTTCCATAAAAATATGTACATGCATCATCGGCACTATAAAAGCTTTCTAAAAAAGTCCAGTCAATATTTGATATCATATTATACATAAGTGGAAAATTTGCCTTACGAAAATTATAACAATTTGTATAAGAAGATTCTAAGTTAAATATTGCCCGATGACGTCATATGTTGAAAAACATTACGTATGCGGGAAATCTGTAAACGTCAATAAATAGTACATAAAATGTACAAAAACTTTTATCTAAGTCAAATTATCGTACAAGTCATAGTTAAGCCATAAATCAAGTGTTCCGCCCATATAGAATGACCCTTTCCGCCCATATAGAATGTCCCGGTATATTTAGCTCTTCCTCTAAAGATTTACAGGGTTGATACAATAGGCTGTACAAAATATAAAAAAAAACCTGTAATAACTAGAGAGGAAAGTCAGACACATCAGATTTTTTATTTTAATGTCCGACTATACAGTAATAGTTTAAATTTCTAAAATGAAACACTGCTTATATTCGATTTAAAAAAAATGGATACTATTACTATTAACATATCGACAAAAATATTTCAGATTTTTCGCAACTCCAATTTCTATAGAGACAGAGCGGTATTGATCCGATAGCATTATTTTTATGAAAATTTCCACTTAACTGGTGACAGTGCATTTGGAATAAAAATTTGGATAATGACTCCATATAAGTAAGCCTGAAATAAGCCCTTTTATATTTATGGAGAATATATTAAATTCGTTGTTTCCTAATTTAAGAAAGTGAGAAATTTCCAATGTTTTATGCATTTTATGTTTTAAGGAAAATCATATCCTTACCCGAAAAGAAAAACATAACTATTGCCTAGGCCTAGAGCATTCTTCTGACAAATTAAAATGTAAATAAAAAAGGCAACAATTTATTATTACATACTTTATGTTTAATACTGTGGAAATTGCTACAGCAGAATGTGTGTTGCATTAGATTTATTTAATAAATTGTGATTTCTGGAATAATAAAAGTATATTTTAAATAAAGAACACCAATAATAGATATGAATTCAAAATGATTTGTAAGGAAGCAAAAAAATAAAACGTTTAGCAGATGAGCTATTTGATAATTTAGTTTAAAATAATATTTGTTAATTTGTTAAAATATGAACCATTGAGCTAAAAAGAATATCAATTTTTTAACATGACGTATGTCCCAATAGTTTTGGCATAAAATTTAGGGGTAAAAAATTGATTAAAATGCTTGTAAACAAACAATTGTTTATTTTATTGACTTTAGTTAAACAAGTCATTTTTAATGTTGGTTGCATATTTTATAATCAATAATTAAGAAAAAGCATCTATAAATTGGTTGAACGGATTTCTAAGCCAAAAATAGTTCGCATTTTTTAAAACTAAAATATTTAATATAGATGTTTAAGCCATCCAGTTCCTAATGTAATGTTCTTAGAAATTTGACCCCAGTTAGTCTAAGTTAATTATTTTGCTATATACTAAGATGTAAATTATGGAAAATAATAAAAGTTTATATAAAGTTACCAATTACAAAAATATATGGTTAAATATTTTGTGCCTAAAAACTATTAGGACATACGTTAAATATTTTGTCAACAATGTAGGTAATTAATTTGATTAAAATATTTTACATGAATATTTGTTTTATTCACTTTTTATTAAAATATGTGATATCCAAAAATCAGTTTAAATCAGCATTCACTGAATAACAATGTGTTAATAATAATATAATTCTGTAACAAGTTTGGAAAGGAAATTCGATAGGAGTGGAAGATTGTAAACGCAGCGAAAGCGAGCGTGCAGAACTACGAGTGAACGGGTACAGAGAAAAACAATAAATTTTAAACTTATAGTCTGTTCGCTATACTTACGCGGGTTTCGGATTAACAAAATTATGCTAATTAGTCATTGACAACCAGTAATTAGGTAAAATGGTCAGATTGAGTTAGCAATTATCAAAGTGAGAATTCACAGTCTACACACGTTATTATCCGCTCCTCAATAAATCTCAAATTAAAGAGATAAAAACTTAACCAAACTAAGTGCAATTTTTACAGTGAATATACGTATGTGAAACCAAAATACTACTAAAGAAATCTGTGAGTAAATTTTAAATTAACATCATAAACTGCAGAAAAATGCATGCAAATAATGTTTAATAAAGTTGAATTTGGCCTATATGGGGTCTGATAGTTGGGTTTCGTCTTCTCCATAACTCGTAGACATTTTTATAATTTTCGTTTGTATTTTCTTTACAATACTGGTAGCACCACATCAATTCCCTCATTTCTTGTTTGGTCCAGGTAACTCTCTCCGGGTTATTGTTTATTCTGACATGACCTGGCTCAGCACTGACTTCTACCGTTGGTCCGTGTTGAGTTTTCTCGGTACGGTCACCTTCAATAGTTTTTTGAGCTTCGATATCGTTTCTTACTTTAGTAATTGATATATGTGAGGGACTTCTTCTCAGAGTCGCTGTCCTTAATAAAGGAGCACTCCTTCTTACTAATGTCAAGGTGTCCTCCCCAGAATCCGTAGGGCTGACTGCCAAAACATATTATTATTATTATTATTATTATTATTATTATTATTATTATTATTATTATTATTATTATTATTATTATTATTATTATTATTATTATTATTATTATTATTATTATTATTATTATTATTATTATTATTATTATTATTATTATTATTATTATTATTATTATTATTATTATTATTATTATTATTATTATTATTATTATTATTATTATTATTATTATTATTATTATTATTATTATTATTATTATTATTATTATTATTATTATTATTATTATTATTATTATTATTATTATTATTATTATTATTATTATTATTATTATTATTATTATTATTATTATTATTATTATTATTATTATTATTATTATTATTATTATTATTATTATTATTATTATTATTATTATTATTATTATTATTATTATTATTATTATTATTATTATTATTATTATTATTATTATTATTATTATTATTATTATTATTATTATTATTATTATTATTATTATTATTATTATTATTATTATTATTATTATTATTATTATTATTATTATTATTATTATTATTATTATTATTATTATTATTATTATTATTATTATTATTATTATTATTATTATTATTAATTATTATTATTATTATTATTATTATTATTATTATTAATTATTTAAATTAAAATATTAGGGTAGGTACTAAATTTGTTACAAATATTTAATTAATTAATCCGAAACCCGCGTAAGTATAGCGAACAGACTGTAAGCTTTAATCCAACCTGCAATGAGCTGATAAGATTTTGGGTATAGTTGGAACATCTGGGGAGCACTTTATCAGTTTATAGCGGTCTTTTTCCTACTTTATAAGATATATCTCTTATTTAAGCTTCGAGAAGAAAATTCTGAGAAGAAAATTCTTTTTATAAAAGTAGCTTGATTTTATTCTCTATAATTTCTGTTCATATTTTTCTAAAATGACAAAAAAATTGACAAAAAGTACAAATTTCAAATTTGTAAAAAAAAATTGTTAAATTTAAAGTTGTCTTGTCTCATACACAATTTCTTTAAAATGGATTGTATTCGAGATATTTGAGAAAAAGTGCAAATTCGAATGTTGAACATAACTCAAAAACGGATAAAGAGAAAAACACCAAATTTAAAATTTAAGCTTTAATCCATTTACGCTTACGCAACAAAAGTGAGTTATAAAACAATAAATTAAATAATTTTATGTATATGTTTTAATTAGAAATTTTTGGTTATAAGAAAATTCAGCCATTTTATTTAGTTAAAAAGGAAAACATGATGGTTAAAACTAAACAAAAATTTATTATTTGGATCCCATCCTGCATTATAAGTGCAATATGCAGATAAGAAAGTTTCTATAAAATGTTTTTATTTAAATTATTTAATTTGAAATATTTTTGAAGTTTATTTTTTTCGAGATTTTTTTAAATAAATTCATTAGTTTAATAAGATGATAAGGCGCACTAATTTTTAGAAGCCAAAATTAAATGTTACTCCATATTTTTGACAAAATGTAAGTTTAATATAAAGAGCAAATCTATCACCTTTAAAATTTAATCGTCCGTGTGGGGCATACGTAGAGCATGTGCTGGGATCGTCCCTGAATGTAATAGTAAATAATTTTACTTTTTAATACCTAAGATTTTTAGGCAAAGAAACTTCTTATAAAATAAAATTTTCATTAGAAACACCTTGTATATATTTACATATTATATGAAAAGGTTTGTATAGTTACCCTTCAGCGGACATATCAAAAAAAGCGTCATATCTCTTAATAAATATAATATTTGCTCTTATAAATTCGACGACACAACACATAACATGCCAAAACAGCACAGTATTTACAATAACCATTGTTGTCATATAATTAAAATGGTTTATATGAAAATACTAAAAATAATAAGTTATTATTAGTTATAAAGTAATGGGTATACTTTCAGATCTTATATAATTTAAGGAAATCAAGCCAGTAGCAAAATGTAAATGGAATCTAGTTGCTTTAATAATTGGATTTTTTGTACCTATGGAAAACAAAAGAGTTGTGTTACATGGTGATATACGTGTTAAATATAATAAGCGCGATTTAAAAATATCTTTTGACCCAGCGGATTACTGATTGCGGGGTTATTTAAAAGAAAATGTATCTATGACATGACTAATAGGGTGGGTCGATTTTTAAATTTTAAAATGCCTGTGACAGAAACAGTTGTGGATTGGTCAAAAAGATAAAGGGCATTTTTATTTTTTTTATTTTAATATTCCCCCTCCCCCGCCGGTACACAAAAAAAATAAAAAATTAAAACTAACAAATATTTTGTCCTGTACCGCAAAAAGTTTGAATATAACTTATAATAAACCCTTAAAAAATATTTTTAAATTTGGAATTATTAATTATTCATGACCCGCTCCTGATACATTAAGTTGACGCCTACGCGCAATTGCAGTTACCGACTGAGTTAAACAAGAAGCAAGGGCGTAGATAAGGGGGGTAATGGGGGCAATTACCCCCCAAGCCATAGTCAAGATCATTATTTCAAACGTTATATTAAACAAAAATAGAGATATAAAATAAATACAATAAAATAAAGAGTTTCTTAAACATTGTCATCTAAAATAATATTCCTGCAAATTTAAAATTAAAATTTAAATACACAGTCCCATTAGTGCGTAATTGTTTAATATTTCAAACAAGCAAACAAGTTTTCATAAAAGTTATATGGATTTGAAAAATACATATTTGAAAAAGATTTTCGGATATACGTTTTTGCCTGACAAATAACAAATTTTTTTTTAAATATATTTTATTTTATATTTAGAATGGCTTAAAAATATTACAGTGTTGCCAAACTATTTTTTTTTTAATAGAGAATGATGCAGACCCCAAATAAAATTATCATAATTTAGGTAGGATTACAATGATTTCAAAATTGTTTAATATACAGACTTATAAAATACTAAGCTAACGAATAGAGGTGAGACAACTGATTTATTCTATACAGAGTGTTTTGAAACATGTCTTAAATAGGGCTAATTTTAAGTTCATTTTACCCAATGTTTTCAAACGCAACACACTGTATAATATTTTGGCATAAAATTTCCTATAAATTTGCCTGTGTAAAAATACCACTGTATTAGTCAATAACACATATACAGGGTGTCCCATCAGTGCATAATTGATCGGAGCTGTTTTATTATTAGAAATACGAGGAAATGTTTAATATATTTATTTGCTATGTTGTATATAGGGTGTGTCAAATCGTGAGGTTACGATTTGCTTAATTTTTTAGATGATATACCCTGTATTAATTAATTGGTGGTATGACATATAGGGTATTCCATTTAAGAAAATGAGAAAATCGTTACCCCTTATTTTGAAACACTCTATATACAACATAGCAAATAAATGAAGTCTATTAAAGTTGTTTGACGATGTGAAAATAATTAATTATAAAAATATACAAGTTTGGTCAGCTCCTCCTTTATAGACCACCCTGCATATTTAAGAATATTTATAAAACATACAACATACAACTTTCATATAAATTTGTTCTCCTATTTCCAATAATAAAACAGCTATCGATCAATTACGCAAATTGCGCACTATTGAGACATGTTGGTATCGTCGAATATATAAATTTATAAAGAATTTTATGCGAAAATAATATACAGTGTTTTGCATTTGACAAAATTGAGTAAATTGAACTTAGCCATATTTAAGGACATGTTTCAAAACACTCTGTATAAAGTAAATCAGTTCGATCACCTCGGAAATGAAAGGGTCCACAAAAATCAACCAGAAGTCCCTTTTTTAACAAATGGCGTGAAAAATATTTATTGATCTTAAGTTTTATAAAATATAGGGTGTTCAGACAGTTTTAAATAAAATTGTTTCTTTAGCCCTTCATTGTACGCCAATGGGTTATGGAAAGTTATCGAAATAGAGTGTGTTAACTTATAATAACAATTTACTCTTACATATTTTTAAGTTAAAGTCTTTACTGTAAAATACTATAAAATATGTATTTATGAAACATATTTTATCACCCTCTAGAATGAAGACTGGGACGTTTATAGGAAAATTATATTTAGCTTTACTTTTTAATCTACTTATATCCAAAATTACAATACTTTATTCTATAAAACACCCCGTATAAAGTATAAATATATAAAAAATTAAAAACTTCATTATAAAACTCGCTCTTTTTTCTGGAAATACACATATGAACTGTAGACATTGCATTGGTACCATATTCTAAGATAACACGCTGCGCATTCACCAATAATGTGAGAAGTGTTATTCCCCCCCAAGAAAACAACCTAGCTACGCGCTTGGCAAGAAGTAGCTTGTTTTAGTTTTTTAGTTTACTGTATACTCTCGTTGAATGCAGTTGTGTGTGATCTATTTAGCTGGACTTTAAAAACATTCCAGCTGTCAATTTAATAAAAACTACATTAAAAAAATATGACAAACAATATTTAACATAAAAACTAAAACTAAAATGGGCATTAATTAGATATGCATCGTAATAACAAAATTTAAAAAAAACTTTAATTAATAACAAATGAACAATTAATGAACTCCATCTACAATATAGGCTGAGAACTAAAAAGAAGTAAGTACGTATTTTGGAAATCAGATGCAATGTTAACTGAAAAGAAGAAGGACTTAAATGATCATTTTAAAAATAAGATGAAAATATGAAGAAATTATTAATAAAAGAATAGAAATTATAAATAATAGAATGAAAATTCCAACAAAATTATTTTTGGGATGTATGGAAAGGCACTAGAAGTGGCCGATTTTGCCTACTAGATTATACAAGGCATAATTTGTCCAATTGCCAGCTTTGTAGGCAAATTGAAAGTAGTTTATTTATTTATTTTATTTTTTATTTATTTCTACACCACCCAACAGAAACCAATTACAGAGTGGAAACAATCACAATATAGAAATTAGTACAAAAAGAAAAATATTGTAAATATTCAGTTGAACATAATATATGAAAAAGAAAAAAATGCAAAGTTTAGTTTAGACAGACATTACGTATACATGTAAAGCTACTATGAAATAAGTCATCTGGCCACTGAATTTATTACAAATATGACAAAGTTTGTAAACTGGCGAATTTAGTAAAACATTAGTTCGCGTAGTGAAAAATAATGTTCGTTTCGTTAAAAAAACGAATAGTTTCAACAAGGCAATCAATTCGTGCACCCGTATTTGGTGAACCGAGAGACTTTTGTAAAACGTTACTTCCTTGTGACGTTATGCGTTATTTTCTATTTGTACAAAACGGTCTAAATGCAGAAAATGGTGACGTTAAAAACAAAACAGTGGCCGAAATTGTAGAAATTGTAGAAAAGGTACAACAAATTTTGTGTAAAGCTAGCTTGCCAACCATATCAAATCAACAGTGTATTGCATTACTTAAAAAATATCAGAAACAATTTATGGACATTAAAAAATCGATAAAAAGACAAGAGAAGCTGCAAAAAATAAACTAGAGCGTTTTATAAATGAAGTTAACACTAAATTGTTTGATATATCAACATGTAAGTGCGTGGATTTTTCATGTATTTGTGAAAAGTCAAGAAAAATTCCTAAAATTGAGCAAGAATTTTTAAAATACCAAAGAACTAAGAGGTTAATCTTTCTGGGAAATGTGGACGCTGAAGCAACTAGAGTTTTACAAAAAAGGTAGGAAAAAAAAAGAAGTAAAAACCAACTTTAATATATTAAAACAAAATCTTGAACCCGAATATATTTTATCAGAGTCATCAATGCAAAGTGATGTGGATTCCGATGAAGAGTTTAATTCTACACCTTCAACCTCTACGGCAGAAATAATACCAACACTACCTTCCTTGGCAGAAGAGGCCAAATGATAGCTAGTGCAGTTCTTGAAGATGTCGGACTGATTACAAAAAGTGACATGACCTATGTCATTGACAAGTGTAAATTAGATAGTCAAACAAAAAGGGTATGACTTGATTTACAGAAAAATACACTGAAAAAGGACACTTATTAGTCCAAGCGGTGGGTAAGGAATACGGGGATCTAATCGCAAAAGGTCGGAAAGAAATGAAAGGATCACGCACTTTTCTTATGCAAACGGGAGTACCGTCAAAATGTCTTAATTTTTGATATATTTATTTACTTGATGTCCCCATCAAAAGTGTCCATGGGCCCAATCGTATCCTATGACAAGACTTTGAGATACAGGGTGTTGAAGTTAGAAATCCCTAATTCTTTAAAATGGACACCATAAATCACCCTTAAATATATTTGGAAGTTATTTGCCTATTCTGTATAGTCAAAATACATACTTAACTACTGTAATTAAAATATTGTCCCTTACAGGGTAGGGTGATTAATGATTCGGCAGATCTTTTTTGGTCAAAGTAAATACCGAAAAAAAAAATATATCACCGTCAAAGTTTCTCAATATTTGATATCGTATAGTACTCGATGTACTCGTTTAAAATTCTTATTGGTAAAATTACATCATATGACTAGTTTTCCAAATATAACCTAATATGTACCAAATATATGAATTTTAAACAAAAAAAATATACTGACAGAAGTAGATATGTTTCAGAGATATACTGTATATTAGATAATTTGACACACTGTGTTGGATTAGAAATTACTCCTTGTACCATTTGAAGGCAGCCAAAATTATTTCGTAGTTACAGGGTGATTGCGTTTAAATATGTAAGATGAAAAAATCATCAAAATGTTGAAATTGTTGGCAAAAAATAGAAAATAATTGCCTTTTAACTTTGAAGTTGTTTATCAAAAAAATCTTATTAGTTTACATACAGAGTCATACATTATTTCATTACAAAAAGTTCGTTATTTGGTAGGTCTAAGTAGGATTTTGGGAAATGAATAACGATCGGATTAAATGTTTATTTTGACTGGAGCATTGGCTCTTTATATTGCCTCTTTATGTGTATTTATATCAGATTAAGAACTCATCTGACAATCCATGTCTTAGTTTAACAAGGAAAGCAAGTAAATCTTTTTGAGCAATGTTTCTTAAGTTACCATATTGTTTTACTGGTTCACAAAATTCATATAATACTTGGAAATTCTGTTTAGAAATTGAAGTTAAATATTTAAATTCTTCTAAACTAAAAGAATTTTTGTCTTCCCAATTTTTAAATTATTATTAGCAGTAGCCGCCGCACTTAAATTAACGAAGAAGAATGGTCTATAAACAAAATGCAAACTAGCATGTAAATTAATCATTAGTAAACTTGAAGATTTAGATCAGCTGTACTCAACCTTTTTTTCTTTCGGGTCACTTAAATCTGTTTGTTATGTTTTACGGGCCACAATATTTTTGGGTGATAACTAAAGTTGCCACCTTTTTGAAATGCAAATAAAGGACAATGGTTAAAGATAGGGATCCGCTTTAAATATTTTCTGAAAAAAAATGTCCTCATGTTGTTTTAATACAGGACTGTAGCTCAACCATTTCAGTTACTAATATTCGTGTTTGGGGCTGCACAAAACAGCTTGGAGAGCCGCATGAGTCCCGCGGGCTGCAGGTTAAGTATGGCTGATTTAGATGAATGTCACAAAAATCTTCAGATATTCGGGTACATAAATATTTCAAACTAAAAAAATGTTTGCTCAGCATACTGCCGATAGTTTTCTTACATTTACTTGTGCGTTACAAATTATACAGTTACGAACTGAGTGGGGTGTTAAAACATTAAGTCTTAGGCAATTTGGATCATTTTCAATATTTCTAAGTTCCTGTGTAATTGCGTGATAACAGTTTAAACATAATCTTACTTCTTGTAGATTAGCGATTGCAAGATGTCCGGCAGCTTGTCTTCTTAAATTAGCAACGTTAAGCACATCTATATTATTGTCTTAGTTTGAACGAATAGTGAGTCGAAGTTGAAAGTGTCTATTGCAAACATAACAGCTTATCCTATTTGCAAACGCCATACTTGCAACAATATTTATTTAAAACACTAATACAGAACGGTCTAATGCTCACCTAAAGTAATACAAACGTCATTTATTATAAAAGTCAGCAATAGATGGATGTTCAATTATTCTGAAAATATTTAATCATGAATATATAAATCAAGTGTAAGCGTTTATATATCCTATAAGGTTTTTGGCGTATTCACCACTTTTTAGAATTTACTAATAAAATCTATCAATCTTCTAAAACTCATAGGTTACAAAATATACAGGGTAATCAATTTTTGTGATAATCTTCGGAAAAATTATATATTATCACAGTAGATATTAAAAAGCATGCAGGCAGCCTTACGCTTTATATTTTATCATTACGAATATACAGGGTGATTCTTAACACGGTACCAGACCAAAAACGATTTAAAATGCATTGGTTGTGTCGATTACAACAAGCTATAACACTTTACGTCTGAAGTAAAAAATTACGGAGTTACAGGATATTAAAGAATAACTATATTTCCAAGTTTAAATATTTATGGCGTTATAATTATTAAATACGTAACAAAACGACTTGCATGCCTTTGCATAATGACAATATAAAAACAGGCCGGTGATTCGAAAATTACGAATATTTTATTAACCTGTATTCATGTCATATTGTTTTGAAAATCCCTTGAAAAATCAAGAGAGGAACAGGTAAGCTGTAAACTATAAAAATATCAACAATTGTTTCGTGAAAATTAGAATAATATAGCTGCTCGACTTATTTTAAATCTTTGAATGACCAATAACATGGAAATACTATTTCTTATATGAATGTGTACCAATACGTAGATATGACATTTATACTTCATTGTGTGCCTAACTATTACTCAATGAATTTCATAGAAGAAAACTCGCAATGAATAAGAAGACAGTTAAGGAGTTGATAATTTCTCAGATTTTTCTGCTCATTGACTACTTTGTTCTGAGGATCCATTAAATGTTTTTAATTTCTAGTTATTAAAAAGCTATGTCAGTTTGACAAAGTTTGTTATTGCCTATTTAAAATATTACTGTATGTACATTTATAATCTTTTTTCAATAAAGATCTCACAAGCAATTTATTTTCTACTATTTGGCAATAATTTTATATATTATTGATTTTTTCACCTTGCAAGTTCAACTGTAACCACCTTTTAGGGGATGCGACTTAAAACAAAATGTATTCGGGGCTTTACCTCATTGGTGGCGTGGAATAGAGCTTATTTAAATATATAATACAAATAGGCACTTAAGACAATACTCAAGCCAAATAAACCTGTAATCCGATCATAATTTATCTACATCCTACTTAGACCTACCGTATAATCAACTTCTTTGTACATGAATAATGTATGACCCAGTATGTGGACTTATAATATTTTTTTGATGAACTCACAAGGTAATTATTTTCTATTCTTTGGCAACAATTTCAACATTTTGTTGACTTTTATATCTTACATATTCAACCACAATCACCTTGTAAGTTCGAAATTTTTGTCTGTTTCAAATAATACAAGGGTTATATTCCTAATCTAAACACATTGTGTCAAAATATTTAATATAAGATAGTTCTGTTGAAAATATCTACTTATGTCAGTATATATTTATTGTTTAAAATTCATTTATTTGGTATCTACTTGTTATATTTTGTGAACCAATAGAACAATATTATGGTAACTTAAGAAGCATTGCTCGAAAAGCTTTACTTGCTTTCCTTGTTAAACTAAGACATGGATTGTCAGATGAGTTTCCAATCTGATATAAATATACATAAAGAGGCAATATAAAGAGCCAATGCTCCAGTCAAAATAAACTTGTAATCCGATCATTATTCATTTCCCTAAATCCTACTTAGACCTACCGTATAACGAACATTTTTTGTAATGTAATAATGTATGACTCTGTATCCTGGACTTAGACAGTCCAAAAGATTCATAGAGGGGCCATCCACGAGCAGACAACATCAACGGCTAAACCTTAGCAGAAGCGAACTCAAGGCCGTAATAGGACTCCTTACGGGACACTGCGGCCTTAGAAGACACCTAAATCTCTTAGGGATATCTGATGACTCCCTATGCAGAATATGTGAAGAGGAGGACGAAACTCCTATTCACATACTATGCCACTGCCGGAACCTTAAATGGGAACGGGAATGGTACTTCGGGGTACAATATCCGGAACCTGAAGAAATCGCGAAAGCGCCCATCAGACATATTCTTGAATTCATAGAAACTGTGAGGGGTACAATAAGCCTAGAGCTTCAGTACAAGTGGGCTTTGAACTACGCCCTAATTCAGATGATGATGATGATGACTCTGTATGTGAACTAAAAAGATTTTTTTGATAAACAACTCCCAAGTTAAAAGGCAATTATTTTCTATGTTTTGCCAACAATTTCAATATTTTGATGATTTTTTTCACCTTATATATTTAAACGAAATCACCCTGTACTTACGAAATAATTTTGGCTGCCCTCAAATAGTACAAGGGGTAATTTCTAATCCAACACAGTGTGTCAAATTATCTAATATTCAGTATATCTCTGAAACATATATACTTATATCAGTATATTTTTTTTGTTTAAAATTCATATATTTGGTACATAATAATAATAATAATTAATAATAATAATAATAATAATAATAATAATAATAATAATAATAATAATAATAATAATAATAATAATAATAATAATAATAATAATAATAATAATAATAATAATAATAATAATAATAATAATAATAATAATAATAATAATAATAATAATAATAATAATAATAATAATAATAATAATAATAATAATAATAATAATAATAATAATAATAATAATAATAATAATAATAATAATAATAATAATAATAATAATAATAATAATAATAATAATAATAATAATAATAATAATAATAATAATAATAATAATAATAATAATAATAATAATAATAATAATAATAATAATAATAATAATAATAATAATAATAATAATAATAATAATAATAATAATAATAATAATAATAATAATAATAATAATAATAATAATAATAATAATAATAATAATAATAATAATAATAATAATAATAATAATAATAATAATAATAATAATAATAATAATAATAATAATAATAATAATAATAATAATAATAATAATAATAATAATAATAATAATAATAATAATAATAATAATAATAATAATAATAATAATAATAATAATAATAATAATAATAATAATAATAATAATAATAATAATAATAATAATAATAATAATAATAATAATAATAATAATAATAATAATAATAATAATAATAATAATAATAATAATAATAATAATAATAATAATAATAATAATAATAATAATAATAATAATAATAATAATAATAATAATAATAATAATAATAATAATAATAATAATAATAATAATAATAATAATAATAATAATAATAATAATAATAATAATAATAATAATAATAATAATAATAATAATAATAATAATAATAATAATAATAATAATAATAATAATAATAATAATAATAATAATAATAATAATAATAATAATAATAATAATAATAATAATAATAATAATAATAATAATAATAATAATAATAATAATAATAATAATAATAATAATAATAATAATAATAATAATAATAATAATAATAATAATAATAATAATAATAATAATAATAATAATAATAATAATAATAATAATAATAATAATAATAATAATAATAATAATAATAATAATAATAATAATAATAATAATAATAATAATAATAATAATAATAATAATAATAATAATAATAATAATAATAATAATAATAATAATAATAATAATAATAATAATAATAATAATAATAATAATAATAATAATAATAATAATAATAATAATAATAATAATAATAATAATAATAATAATAATAATAATAATAATAATAATAATAATAATAATAATAATAATAATAATAATAATAATAATAATAATAATAATAATAATAATAATAATAATAATAATAATAATAATAATAATAATAATAATAATAATAATAATAATAATAATAATAATAATAATAATAATAATAATAATAATAATAATAATAATAATAATAATAATAATAATAATAATAATAATAATAATAATAATAATAATAATAATAATAATAATAATAATAATAATAATAATAATAATAGTCCCAATACTCACTTACAGCTTTGGTGTTATCCATTGGACGCAAACAGACATAAACGAACTACAAAGGATAACAAACAAATCACTGACAAATGCCAGATTCCACCATCCAAAATCCGCCATCGAACGGCTTACGTTACCTCGCACGGAAGGTGGGAGAGGGTTAATTGATATCAACAACTTACTGAGTAAACAGAAAAACATTCTAAAAAAATACTTCCTTGAAAAGCAACAGACTTCAGAAATGCATCTTGCTATTGTAACAATTGACGATAACTATTCACCGCTTAATTTATGTAAAGACGGTGAATTTTCAATCACAAGCAACGCCGAGAAACATCAAGCTTGGCTCCAAAAAGCGCTACATGGAAAACATGCACAGGCACTAAACCAACCACATGTCGACAAGATTGCATCCAACGCATGGCTTTCTTACAGTTCTCTATTTCCGGAAACAGAAGGGTTTATGATGGCCATCCAAGATCAAGTGATAAGTACAAAAAACATGTTATAAGGGATGGCACCGAAGATAACGCATGTAGAAGATGTAAATCTGCCGTTGAAAATATTCAACATATAATTTCCGGATGCCAAGTACTAGCACAAACGGAATATAAAGTTAGACATGATAATGTCGCGAAAATATTGCATGATCAGTTGTCAGTAAAATATAAATTAAAAGAAAAAACCACTCCCTACTACAAGTGTAATCCTCCAAAAATTTTAGAAAATAGTTCAGCTCGAATATACTGGGATCGAGGACTCTTAACCGATAGAACAGTATCTCACAATAGGCCAGATATAACAATCTTTGACAAAGATAATAATACTGCGTTCTTGATAGACGTTTCTATTCCAAATACAGGCAATACTCAAGCAGCATATGCTGAAAAAATTAGAAAATATGCTGAATTACTTCTTGAAGTAAAACAGCTATGGCAGGTTAAAGCAGTATACATCTTGCCCGTAATAATATCTGCTACAGGAGTAGTACCACGCAATCTCCATGAAGCTCTGACAAAGACATGGGTCCTCTGATACTACACCCAAGTTTGCGACCTTGGGAGGTTGCCGCTCGAGGAGTGGAGAAATAAAAACTCGCGACGCTTTTCGGGAAATAGCGCCGTTGTGGTAAGTGCTGTCGAAAAAATTCAAATAAATTATGTACAGGACAAAATCATGCACAATTTTTACCTATACATTTTTTGTCTGCGACCAATAGTTCCCACTCTACAACGCGCCAAAGTAGGGGGTTGATTTGCAATGTTCAACAAACTGAGAATTTGGATACTTTTGGTCATATATAATAAATGCTATGCTGTTTTGAAACGCGCCCCTACATACTCCGATATAAAGATTTTGTATTTATCGGAATCTACAGTCAATATTTCCTTATTATTGTTGACTTAGGCGCCAAATTTATTATTTTTGTGCATTAGTTGTCATAACATATCATATTTGTTGTATAGCATACGTGACCATTGTTCGGCCTCAACTTATTATTTATTAATATTTACGAGTATGTAATATATTAATTCTTTTCCGTGCTACATAGTAAATTGTGGATAAAATTTGCAATTTGTTAATATGTAAAGGCTAAAAGAGGCAGGTACCTTCTCAAAGAAACCACCACTCGAAGCAGCAGTGCAGCACTGCAGCACTGATATACTCTTCGATAAATCCATAATTCCAACTGTATCGCAAGAACAATTTTTATCGAACAACTTCAACAAGATGTTGGCGATCGAAGACGCGGATTCATTAATTGTGCAGACTGTCATCGAACTTGCTCTCTCTTTTTCCTCCGTATTCGTTATTGGAGGAGATGTAGATTTGCTTGTGTTGTTGACTGATAAATCCAGAGATATCTCGAATATTTATTTGCGCAAGCCGGATAAAGGGAAAAAGGAGGATGTGTTCTATTCGCCTCAGAGTTTACAATATAGCGATACTGTAGCGAAAAGTATGTTATTTCTGCATGCCTTCAGTGGACGTGACACTACATCGGCGTTATTCATCAAGACAAAATTCGATTCCTCAAAACTTTGGAAAAAAATCCAACATTAACAGACGTGATTCAGGTATTTTACGACCACAATGCCGAATTAACCGAAGTCGTTGCCGCTGGCAAACTGTTTATGTTGAGGCAGTATGATGCAGAAAGGGAATATCGCAAGTTAGACTCTCTGCGGTATACATACTTTGTACGGGCCGTCACAAAAAAATCATTCAATTTAGCGGCGCTGCCACCAACATCAGATGTGTGCCATCAACAAATAAGAAGTCTACTACTAAGCTTTAAGACTGAACTTCTTCAAGAAATAATAAGCACTAAACAAGAACTAAAAAATTCGATTGAAGCGTCAGAAGCGCGAATAGCACTGAGTATTGAAAAACAGAATAGAAGAATCAGCAATCTAGAAGTAGAAAATCAACATCTTAAAGAGAAATTGGAAAACATTGAAAGAAATCAAAAACGTAACAATATAATAATTTTCGGATTAAACAAACCAAAATTTGAAAGAAGTGTGGCCTTCATCTGTGAGGAAATAAAACGATTACTCCAAATAGATTTATTTGAACAGGATATCTCTAACTTATATTCGTTAGGAAATTCAGACACCTCTCCATTAAAATTAGAATTAATCTCGTCACTAAAAAAGAAACAAATATTTCAAAACTGCAACAAATTAAAATCAACTAATATAAAAATTGTACAGGATCTCACAGAAATACAACGAGAGGAAATAAAAATTTTAACGAATTATTTAAAAGAGGCCCGCAGAAACGCCAACGAAAGAAGGGAGGAAAATTATACGTTGGAAATAAATCCTATACAGCAGAAGAACTACAGAACTCTATACTTCCAAAAGAACAAAGCCAATCACTTAGTGCACCATCCACTCCTTCAAATAATTCAAATAATACGGAAAATAATTTAGAGGACCTCAACAATAGAGACCGTGATACAACAAACATTCAAACAGAAGATAAACCGGATGAAAAAAATACGGCAACTCCAAAAAGTAAAAATCAGAAACCCAAACCCACTCTGCCAAAAAATCCTATTCCAAAGAACCAATTTGAAAAAAGGACAAGATCTGGATCAAATTCTAAACAAATCTAAATTAATTTTTACTAATATAAAGCAAATACCCTTTATGAAACTGTGACTAAAGTAAATCTAAGAATTTTGGTTAACTGTTTATTACATTTTTTTTTATTATTTTTAAACTAGATATAAAATTAGTATAATTAACAAAATCAGATATGGATCAATATATACATGATTTCAAACTAGATCCTGTAAAAACTTACACCTTAGATACAGAAATTGAATGTAAAGAAATTTTAAAGGTCAACAAACTAAATAACAATTTTAAAATGATACGCAATAATATACGGAGTGTGCACAAAAATATAGATGAATTCAAAATATTTTTAAAAAACATTGATGAAGAATTTGATTGTATTGTTTTTACAGAAACTAGAATATTATCAGACTGCACTTTATATAACCTACCGGGTTACAATATGATCTATAACGAAGGAGATTATAATCAAAATGATGGAGTATTGATGTACCTAAAGAGTAAATATGATTATGAGTATGAAATTGTACAATTAGGTAACATTAAAATTCTTAAAACTAAAGTTAATCTAATCGAAAAGAACATAGTAATAAGTGCACTCTACAGATCACCAGCTTCCAATATAAAGGAGTTTAATCAAATATTGCAAAACTACTTAGAAAACAATCAAACAGAATCTGAACATTTTTATTTGTTTATAGGTGATATAAATATTAATATCCTTGAATCAGATGACAACTGTATTGAATACTTAAATATTCTTAGTGAATTCGGTTATATCTCTACAATTATCGAACCTACCAGACTTGATAATTGCCTAGACCACATTTTTATAAAATCTAAAACTTTTATTTCAGATATGATTATTCCGATTATAGTAAAAAGCAATGTAACAGATCACTTTACAACAATACTTCAAATTGTCTTACATGAGAACATAAAAATTCCTTCAGAAGTTATGGTCAAAAAATTTTTAAATGTTAAAAAATTAATACAAAATGTTTCTCAAATCAGCTGGAAGTCTGTGGACACAGAGACTGATCCAAATACTGCAATAAGCATATTCATTAAAATATTTTCTGAAAACATTAACAAATCTTTAGAAATAAAAAAATGTACAAGAAAAAATTCTAAACTTGCGCCATGGATTACAAATGGCTTGCTAACATCTATAAATAAAAAGAGTGATTTGTTTAAAAAAAACTATAAAGTTTCCTAATAACGAACCAATAAAAAAAGAGTACAAATTATATAGAAATAAACTTACAAATATCTTAAATAAAACAAAAGCTAATTACTACATACAACAGATAGAAAGAAATGCAAATAATTCAAAACACCTATGGGACGTTGTAAAAAATCTAAGTAAATCTAATAACAAATAAACCATCAAACAAATAAAAAAAGAAAATGGAGATTTACTTACTGATTCTGTTGAAATCGCTAACGAATTCAATAGGAGATTTACGGAAATGGGGAAAAATCTTGCTGAAAAAATAAAATGGGACCCAAATTTTAAATTACGGGAGAACAGAATACCTTCTAGTATAAGTTTATTTCCTACTTCACCAACAGAACTCAAAGTTATAATACACGAACTAAAAGATAAGAAATCTACAGGTATAGATGATATTCGTTCAGAAACTATAAAAACAGTGGCCGATTTTATAGTGGCTCCGCTTGCCTACATCGTAAATCTCTGCTTAGAGAATGGAATTTGGCCTGATTCATTCAAAAAAACAGTTGTTATTCCTTTTTATAAAAAAGGAGATAAAACTGTAGTCACGAATTATCGTCCAATATCCCTTATTACCAACTTGTCAAAGATTTTTGAAAAATTACTAAAAAAACGGTTATTATCATACATAGACAAACATGACCTAATTTCAAGTAGGCAATATTGTTTTAAAGAAAACACGTCCACTGAAGATGCAGTATTAGCTCTTACAGATAAAGTACACCACGCGCTAGAGAAAGGAAACCCTTGTTTATGTATTTTCATTGATTTTGCGAAGGCCTTTGACACGGTAAGCCATCAGCAACTCCTGGATACTCTTGAATCCATTGGTCTTAGAGGAAAATGTTTACTTTGGTTAGAAAGCTATTTAAATAATAGATATCAAGCAGTAAAAGTTAATGGTACAACAAGTAATACAAAACCTATCGACTATGGGGTACCACAAGGTACGGTTCTAGGACCGATCCTCTTTAACTTGTATATAAATAGTATATTTAGTCTTAATACAACAGGAGATATACTGGGTTATGCTGATGACACAGCGGTTTTTTATAAGGCTGATACCTGGATCGAATTAAAACATAAAGCAGAAAAGGATTTTCTATATCTGATCAAATGATTTAACTATAAGCTACTTACCATAAATATGGATAAAACACATTTTCTACCCTTTAGCTGCACCAACACGAATATCTGCCCCTATCAGCAACTTAGAATTAACAAAAATGATACTTCCTTCAAAGTTAATGCTATAAAAAATACTAAATATCTAGGAGTGATTATTGATACTCATCCTAAATGGGATATTCATATAAAATTTGTAATAAAAAAATTACAATCAATTTTATATAAATTTAAGTACCTGAATAAATACCTCCCATTAAAAGCAATAAAAATACTATATTTTGCATTGGTTGAAAGTCATCTGCGGTATGGAATAGTGGTCTGGGGAAGTGCACTTAGAGTACACATTAATCCACTTGAAATTATACAAAAACGATTTTTGAAATTAATTTTATCCAAAAATAGAAGGTACTCTTCTGACATGTTATTCAAAGAAAGTCACATTTTGGATCTACGCCAACTATTTTACCTAGTAGTGAATACAAAATTTCATTTCTCTACCGATAAATATACCTTACTACATACCTACAACACAAGACAGAAAAATAACACAATTCCACCCACTGTAAAAAAATCTTTATCACAACGATCATATTCATACTTGTCAAATAAAATATATAATTATGTTCCTTCTCATTTAAAAAATATAAAGAACAAAACTAGTTTTAAGAAGAAATTAAAATTTCACTTAGTACAATCGGATAGAAAAATAATATCCGAACTCATAGAAAAAAATTAAAAAAAAATTAAATAAATAAGAATGTGTCACGATTTTGAAATATACTCTTCTTCTAAGATCCTTATTGTTTACCCCAATACTTACTCTGTTAACTTTATATGCCATTATTAATATTACAGTTTTAGAATTTTACCATAGTATTAAGAAATGTATTTATATTTTATTATGTATTATGTATTATGTATTTCTGTCGAAACAAGTAAATTTTTTACTTATCGACTTAACCACTTTATTTATTATGATTTATATGTTAAATTATTAGTATCTTGTATTTTATATATTATTTATGATAATTAAAGTTTTTTATTATTATTATTATTATTATTATTATTATCATTCATTGCGTACTTATTGTCAAGTACAGAGCTGGCGGGGAGTTCAGGAACCTCCAGAAGATCATGGATGGCAAAGAACAACCACATGACTGGACGCAGTACGGATGGCAAAGGAACCAGCTCCAGATGTTTTACTTAAGAGCATCTTGTGCAGATGCAAGTAAGGTTGCCGTAAAATAGGATTGACATGTTCGATTCTGTATTTAAACTGTGCTGGGATGTCATGCGAAAACATTCCGGACCTGATTGCGTTAGACGATGACAATTCAGAAGATGCCGAAAACGTTCGCGATCAGTTACAGGACGATAAAGACCAAACATACAACGCCGAGTTTGACGAATAAACCCAAATATAAACTGTGAATTGGGCCTCTTGGGATACCACTTAAAAAAAACACACCGATCAGCTCTACCTCAAGGATGGTGTGGAAACTAGTTGAAAATAATACTTTCTTGTATTATGTATGCACAAAAAGAATAAATTTGGCGCCTAGGTCAACAATAATAAGGACATATTGATCGTAGATACTGATAATTACAAAATATTTACTTCAGAATATGTAGAGGCGCGCTTCAAAACATCATATTATTTATTAAATACGACCAAATGTATCAAATCGGGCATCTGCAGACACAGAAATAATTACTCTTTTAGAAAAAAAATATTACATAATTGTTTCATAGCGATCTTCGTCTTAATCCGCGCTGAAATTTTCATTTTGTTGCAAATCAATCCCTTATTTTGGCACGCGTCGTAGAGCGGGAACTATTGGTCGCAGACAAAAGAATGTACAAGTCAAAATTGTGCACGATTTTGTCCTGTACCTATTTTGTTTGAAATTTTTTTTTGATTACACTTACCACAACGGTGCTATTTTCCGAAAAGCGTCGCGACGCAAAGTTTTCATCCCTCCACCCATCGAGCGACAACCCCCCGATGTCGCAAACTTTGGTACAGTATCAGGGGACCCATCCCACCAAATTTCATTTCTTTCCAACCTTTTGCGAATAGAAACCACCCACCGCTTGGACTATTATCCCCAAGCACTATATTTTGATGGCCTTTAAAAAACAGAGAGATAGGTCATCGAGAAAAATTGTTGTAAAAGCACATAATTACAGGAACCAGGTAGCGATTATATCGGACATGTAACATCTGAAAATGGTACTACTAATAATATTGCTTTAAGCATTTCAAATTATATTGCAGAAGTTGGTATATTACAATCGGACCTAATTGCTATTGGCTGCGATGGTACAGCAGTAAATACTGGAAGCAAAGGAGGTGTTATACGTTTGTTAGCATTACATCTCAAACGACCGTTGCAATGGCTAAAATGTCAGTTACACGCTATATGGATGGAAATACCACAGGACCGGTTTCACTGCCAGGTCCTGTTGGAAAACTTTTTGAGTCTGGTGAACAATTACCGCTATAAGAAAATTGAGGTCAAGTTACCGAAGGTTGATATGGAAAAACCAACATTATTTGTACCAGATATGTAATGTTATATCTGATGGAAAGTGTCCAACTAACTTAGCCAACAAATTTCCAGTAAAGATGTCCCACGCACGATGGCTCACTACAGCTAACTATTTATTACGGGGTTATATCGGAAATAAGAAATTATCTAATAATCTAAAAATTCTTACAGAGTACATTATGAAAGTATATCCAAAGGTTTGATTCTGTATCAAAACTGCACCTTTATGTACTTCCGGGGCTTATCATTTCTTGAAAATAATTTATTATTTAGGACATTTAAATGACGAATTAAGAGCAGTAGTTGACCCCGTAATACAACGAAATGGTTTTAATGGCCACATTAAAAATATATTAATTTCAACGATCTTTGATTTACGTCAATATATACGAGAACTGGGATTTAGAAGAATATAAAATTGTAGATCCAAAGAAAAGAAAAACAAACAATCAAATTATGTCGTCAGAAAATTTGAGATTTCTAGATTTAATTTTAATGCCGAAAAATACTTTCATTTGATAAACTGGCAAGAGTGTACCATTACAGAACCTTCGATGACCAAACACCTAACAGACAAAGAAATTCAAGATTTTATTGAAACTGGTAATTTGCTAGTGAAAAATCTCTGGAAATTACCTTGCCACACACAGGCTGTTGAGAGAGGTGTTAAATTGGCGACAGAAGCATCATTGGTAATCTGTGGTCACAATAATAGAGATGGTTGGATACGTACAACAATAGCATCTAGAAAAACCATGCCAAAGTATGACACCAAATCAGATTATTTAGTTGAAAACAATAGCTAAAAATAAATAATTCATATAGGTATTATTTGATTCCTACAGATTACATCCTAATATTTATTTCTCCTTCCTTGTAATTAGCGATGTAAACAAACTAAATTAATACATAGCTAAATAAATAATATTTATATCATAAAGTAAGTGACAAGCTATCCTTATATTAGTATATTACAAATAATTTAATTTTAGCGAGTTTTAAGGGGTCGGCAGGGGTTTTAAATATATTACAAACTTAAAAATATTTGTTATGGGAATCTAACAAAATGTTTAACAGTACAGGCATATTAATTTTATGAGTAAATAATTTTAAAATTTTTAGGGGCCTGGCGAGAGGTCTAAATATTTAAAAAAAAAAACTTTTTTCTTAACATTATATACCATTTCCCAACTTTTTTTACTACAGGCATTTTATAACAACAAAAAAAGTAAGAAAACGTCCCTCCTCAATGACTAACAATACTGGAATAATTGAAAGAATCTATTAAAGAGCAAAATGATGCAATTCAACCGGAAATCCTAAATAAAGCTGCGAATATTTTGGAGGAACGATTGGTCATTGTACAGCATTAAAATGGACGCGTATCGCACATTTGCAATAACTACTGCTGGAAAGAAGAATTCGCATTATTTAAGCAATCAAATTCCGTATGTTGTTAACTTAATTTGTTAAAAATACATAATAAGCTAAAATATATCCCTTACCTCGTATAATCCTGAATAAAACTTACATTTGCTACAATTTTAGAATAAACATTAAAAGATCGGACCAACAAAAATCTGAACATTGTCATCCACATAAGAATCGCCATATTTCCAACATATAACTTTATAAAAATATCAAGGTAGGTAGGTAAAGCTGATAAAATATCTGGAACCATATTTGTTTTTAAATAATACCTACAAATAGTAAAATGTTTTTATATAATTTACAATATTTAAGAAATATACGGAAGCATAGAAAGGCCACAAAATATTTTTCTCAGTAAAATCAGTTTTTTCGAAAACTGTCATTAAAAATAGATTTTTATAAGATATTTATTAATTGTGAAAACAACTGCATTATTTTATGTAATGAGTGAATATTTGTGGGACGAACAATCTATATTACTTTATTTTGTTGCATAACTTTACTCATTTCATTGACAGATCGAAATATTAATATTAATTTATTCGCAATGACTTGTAGTGTGTTTATGTTGCTTGTTAAAGTTATTTTGTTTCTAGAAAGTGAGTTATTTTGTCGGGTATTGTGTTTTATTTTGTGCTGATTTAGAATGGAAAATAAGGACCAAAACAATATTATTACTATTAGGTTGTTCTCTTTTTATAACTCAACTCTTTGATATAAACTTTCAATAATAATGTATTATTAATTTTTAAACCAAAAAAGTTTATTTTTCTTTCTTTTTCGCAACTGGTGATATAATGAATTTTTCGTAAGCATTTTCATATTGTTCAACATTATGAAATTGGTTGCGTAAAGCAGATCATTTTTACACTTGCTGCAATAACAAAAAATTTATTTTATCTGTGAAAATAAAAAAACGTTTTTACATACAGAATGACTAAAATATACACTAGTGGATAACATAATCAGTTCACATTTGTTTATTATTGTCAACAAAAACATTATTTAAAACATTTTAATTTAAACTTAGTAAATTATCCGTGTAAATGTTCTAGCCCCGAATAATGTTTTTATTTTTTATCGTTTTATTTATATAAAATTTTGCTACGGTCAGGAAATTATCCTTATTCTATTATTCTTAGTTGTAAGTCTGAATTATCTATTATTCTTAGTTATAAATCGGAAAAATCTATTATTCTTAGTTCTTAGTCGGAAAAATCTATTATTTTAAGTCACGAGTGAAAAAAATAGATTTTTTTCTACGATAACTATCCAAAGTAGGCTTTTGCGCATTCAAATCTAACTGGAAAGTTGATGTTTTCCATGAATTGTCATAGTTTGACTTTATTGCCGCATATAGGCGGAAAGTTACTTTTTGCACAATCATATTTTCATTAGAAAATTTCATTAAAAAAGTGGTTATTATAAAACTAATCGATATTTGAAAAGAAAATATATACTAATCTGAATCTTTTAGTTGAACATTTAATACCGAATTTCATTTCCCTTAATATTTAAATGATAATTATTTAAAATTATTTTTATTATTATTATTATTATTATTATTATTATTATTATTATTATTATTATTATTATTATTATTATTATTATTATTATTATTATTATTATTATTATTATCATTATCATTATTATTATTATTATTATTATTATTATTATTATTATTATTATTATTATTATTATTATTATTATTATTATTATTATTATTATTATTATTATTATTATTATTATTATTATTATTATTATTATTATTATTATTATTATTATTATTATTATTATTATTATTATTATTATTATTATTATTATTATTATTATTATTATTATTATTATTATTATTATTATTATTATTATTATTATTATTATTATTATTATTATTATTATTATTATTATTATTATTATTATTATTATTATTATTATTATTATTATTATTATTATTATTATTATTATTATTATTATTATTATTATTATTATTATTATTATTATTATTATTATTATTATTATTATTATTATTATTATTATTATTATTATTATTATTATTATTATTATTATTATTATTATTATTATTATTATTATTATTATTATTATTATTATTATTATTATTATTATTATTATTATTATTATTTTTTTTTTTTTTTTTTGAGGGTGTTGAAATGCTTTTACGCACGCCGTCTGTATGCCCAGCACGGTTGTGAGGGACTCGGTCCGGACCCCTACCCACTAAACACTCACCCTCTCTAGACACCAAGTCACCGGAACCATCTGAGTTGATATCGTCTTCAGTGACTGGCGCTGACTATATATTGTTTATATTTTCTCTTATTTGGAAATTTCGTTCATCTTCTTCTTTTTTGCACATTATATCGGTAACGAACCTATTAACAGCCCACCAGTTTTTTTCGTTCCTTATCATGTTTGCGACAATATTTTCTGGGGTTGCAACTACGCCAATTTGATAGGATAACCTGTCTCTTTTTTCTTTCCATTTTTCACATTCAAAAATTGTATGTTCTACATCATCTACCTCATCTTCACAGTAGAGACAATTGACTGTTCGACTTTTTTTAAATCTATGGGCATATTTTTTAAAAACTCCATGACCTGAGAACATTTGTGTCAAATGGTAATTTAATTTACGATGCTTGCATCCAACCCATGAGTCTAGGTCTTGGATTAGTCGTTTAGTCCATTGAGCCACAGATGACTCCCTGTTCCACGACTCTTGCCACTCTCTAATCAGTTGTGCTCTGATCCTAGGTCTTCTTTCGGTCTCATTTTCCTCTCTATACTCCCAGTTTAATGATCTTTCTCTCACCAGCAGACTCATAGGTAGTTCGCCCGTAATGGCTTGGAGAGCTTTAGTCGATACCGTTTTATATGCTGAGCAGATCTTTAGCAACATCTTTCTTTGTGTTTTTTCCAACATATCTCTATACTTCGCAAACTGTAATCCACCTTGCCAGATTGATGCCCCATATAACACTGTGGAATTAAATACACCATTTAGCAAACGTCTCTTACAGTAACTTGGAGCATTAACATTTGGCATTATTTTTTGAAGGTTGCTTGCTACTTTGTTTGACTTTTCTACTACCTTTTCTACGTGTGCTTTATAGTTCAGCCTGTCATCAATCCAGATACCGAGATATTTCATGTTACTAACAGGGTTTATAGTTGTATTTTCCATTTACTATGATAGCTTCGGTCTTTTCGGGGGCCACCTTTAAATTATTATTTTGCATCCATTCTGCGATCCGTTGTAAAGATTCATTTGCTTTAGTTATCAACTGCTGTGATGTATTTGCTGTTATAATAAGAGCAAAATCGTCGGCATAACCCGCTGAGTAACAACCTTCTGGTAGTTGCATTTCTAACACTGTATTATACATTACATTCCACAGTGTAGGGCCGATAACTGACCCCTGCGGAACTCCCATGTATACATCCAGCATCTCTTGTTTGGTGATTAAAAGCTTTCTATCTTTAAAGTAGTCTTCTACCAGTCGAATGATATAATTACTTATACCGATTTCTTCTAGCCTATGAATAATTCTTCCCCAAGAGGCGGTATTAAATGCATTTTGGACATCTATGGCGATTAGAGAGGACCATTTCCCATTTTTAAGTTTTTCGGTCACATATTCCAAGGCCTGTATGGTAGATAACTGTCTTTCAGAGAGTCCTCCTTTTTCCCTCAACTCTTCTTCCAATCTATCTCTAATCATTATTTCGAATAATTTACCAAACGTGTCTATGAGACAGATTGGTCGGAAAGTTGGTTTTCCTTCGCTATCTACTTTCCCTTTTGGAATGAGTATGACCTTGGTTGTTTTCCACGCCTTAGGCAGGCCTTGGTTTTTTAGTATGATGTTCATAATTTCTTTGACCAGTTCGCAAGCCCATTTTATAACCTCTTTAACGCTTTCTGAAATTATGCCGTCAGGTCCCGGCGCTTTTCTGGCTTTTAAAATCTCACCTGCCCTTTGAATTTCAGATTCGGTAAAAAGATTTATGTTCTCATCAGGAGCTCTGATTTCGTGTACCTCATCGCTAATGGGGAACAGTCTTCTTATTATTGATCTTTTTTCTTCGTCCAACAAGCTATAAGGAGCCTCTGGTTTTTTTAGTCTCTTTACGACAATTCTGTAACCCTCCCCCCAGATGTCATTTTCTAAATCTGTGCAAAGATTTCTCCAGCAATCCCTTTTGGATTTGGTTATTTGCTTCCTTAGTGTTTTCCGGCTATTCTTCAGTGACCTTTCTAAGTTTTTAATCTCTTGTACAGTTGCGTTCGCGTTGTTAGTTCTTGCCCTGGTCAAACGTCGCCGTATTTGATTAGCTTTTTTTCTGCTTTCTTCTATATCTTCATTCCACCAGTAGGGTTGAGTACGTCTGTGGCTCATTCTGCTAGTGCTTTTTACCTGTGCTTTCTTAACTACTGAAAAGAAGCTCTCTGGATTTCTAGTATCTATTTGATTTCTAGTCTCATTTATTGAGTTTCTGAATTCATTTTTATTAAACCATGGTGTGCCTGGTTCTTGATATTTTTTTCGAGTTATAACATTTTTTATTTCGTAGGCTATATATTTATGAAGGCTTAAGCTTTCATCGTCTAGGACTTTCCAGTTTGTAATGTGTCTAAGAGTGTTATGTGTTGTTATTGTTACATCGATATGTGATCTTGTTTCCCCTCGTACAAAAGTTGGTTCGTCCCCTTGATTGGCAACTTCAAGATCCAGGCTCGCTAGCCATTCCGAGAGTATTTCTCCTCTTGGATCTGTGCGTGGGGCACCCCATAAGGGAGATTTCGCGTTTAGGTCTCCTGCGACGATGACTTTTCTTCCGGATTTCATTACTTCGTCCATAATAGCATCTATTCTGCGACTATATTCATCATTTGGGAGGTTTGGTGAAACATAACAACTGAAGATTGTTACTTCTTTAAGAGTTAGTTTAACGTAGCTGTTGCCAATCTTATGACTCGAGGCTTTTATATTTTTGTTTAGGCATAATATAGCGCTATCTTTACGTGTATCAACTAACCATCTTGGATTTTCAACAATTTTCTTATTTGGTTCAGACGCCAAAATAATATCCGCCTTAAGATTTATTGCAGTTTGATAAGCTAAATCATGTGCTGCTCTGGATCGACCGAGGTTTATTTGGAGGATTTTCATGTAAGTATCAGTTTTGTGATAGAGGGTAAGTAAACTAAATGTAATAACTAAATAGATAAATAAATTAGACAAAAACAAGTGAATATGTCGACGGCAAAAGTTACTTAAACAGACAATTAAAATATGTAGAAAATATAAGTAGAAATATGTATATATGTGTAAAGTTATAGAGGTGAAAGTACTTTAGTAGTATGTTTTCCTTATCTCCTGCCGTAGAGCTTTTTTATATTTCGGGCATTGAAAATCTCTGTGTCCTTCGTTCTCACATGTCCAGCAATACTCGGTGTCGCTCTTACAATCTGGCATTTTGTGACCATAGCCACCGCATTTTTTGCAGCGGTCTTCCCTATCGGGACCTCTACAATTTTGAGCTCTGTGTCCGTACCTCCAACATTTAAAACATTTTTCAAACACCACCTTTTCGCGAACGCGGCAGCTGGACCAGCTAACTTTTATTGTTCCTATTTCCAACAGCTTTTGTGCTTTGTTGTCCTCCATAATAACTGTTGCTACTTGTCTACCTCCGTAAACTTCTTTCAGAGCTTTTATTTCAAAGCCTTCCATTCCGACTTCCCTTCCTATTGCTTCTTTTATTTCTTCCCGGGATATTACGGCATCAAGGTCATTTATGTAAACAGTCGTATACAGCTTGCCTGCTTGTCTTATGTCCTGATTGTTTAATTTTTTAGTTATTATTTCCTGGAGTTTTATTGCATCTTCTTCTTTTTTAAGCGTTATAAGAAGGTCCCCATTCCGAGTCTTCTTGAGATCTCTCACTGCGTCTTTAACGTCTTTTGCATCGACTTTACCTTTAACCTCTCTTAATAAGTCTGCGTAAGATTTTCCCTTCGCCTGTATAATTAATGCGTTCGTGTTGTAATTTTTTATTGTTTTCTTCTCTTTTAGACTCCACCCTTCCGTGTTATTTGTTTTTTTGAGTACCCCTAAATCAAATAAGGTTAGTTTTACATTTGTTTCTGCGAAGGCGCACTCCACAATCTTCCTTGATTTCTCAGTCAACAGCTCTGCGTCACATATGATTGCTGCCTGATCTCTCTTTTTGAAGCTCATAAGTTCTTTTAATTTGTTACATGCTTGTAAAAGTGATGGTTCCAAGCCTTCTGATACGTCTGCTCCTATAAAGTATGTGCACATTTCTTGGGTGGTACCTGAATTTTCTCCTGTAATTTCAAGGTCTTTTCTGCTCGTAAGGCATGCTGTTTTACCTTTTCCAATTAGTTTGTTTTGTATTATTTCGTCTATGTGTTTTTCCTCTGTAATGTTAAATTTATGGTTTTCTTTATCTGGGTCGAAAATAACTGCCAAGTCCTGTTTTTCCGGTTGCTTAGTTGGATTTCCGATTTCTATTACTGTGTTAACATATACCTCTTCGCTCCATTGTTTGGATATAATTTGCTCCATGACGTTCCAATTTCCGGTTTTATCTGCTACTTGTTCTAGAAGTTCCTCTCTATTTTTTATTGTTTCCTCTTCCATATCGAAATTGACCTGCACCCCTATTTCCTTTGTTTGTTTTTCAGGAATAAATTCGTTTACATGTAGAGTTTTTGTTAACGTCTTCAGATTAATTCTTTTCTGCTGCTGCGTCTGTACGCTTGCATTTGAAGTCAGGGTCTTTTCTGGTAGCTCTGTCCATGTCTCCACTATTTTCTTTGTTTTATTCTTGTATCCATATAGTTCTTTAACTGCATCTTTGACAATATTTTTCGTGTATATATGTTGTTCAATTAGGCTCATTAGGTTGTCAGCACACCTTTCCATTTTCCTATACAATTTCAAAAAATTGCTGAATTCTTGTTCTTTGACCGTTTCTCCTTTGCTACGTTTGTATATGTTTTCCGGTGTCGATCCTTTTCTGCCTCTTTTTTTGTTATCTTTTTTTACTTTTTCTTCTTTACCTTCTAACACTTGCTGCTCCTCTAGGTCTATGCACCCCAACCAGTCATCTACATCGTTGTCCTCTGCTGTATTTTTTAGAATGTGATTAGTTCCTTCTAGCTGGTCGGTTGTTGATTTAGAGAAAATCTCCCCATCCTTACTTATGTTCTCTTCGCCTGCCGAGTTAAGCACAGGTGTTCCCGATGCAGATATAAATCTGTCTTTATCTTCCTCCTTCTGTCTATCGATTTTTACTTGGGGTGGTGTTCTTCCTACTTTTTGGCTTCTATTAAATGCTTTTTCTGTTTCTTCTTTTTCTGTTTCTTTTTTTTTTTCAATATCTTTATCTGACAGATTTTGTTTCGTGTTAACACCTTCCTCATTTTCTTTGTCGTTGTTGCTACTCCTAGCTTGGTTTTGATTAATTTGAATGTTGTTCATTAGATTCCCACGAGTTGGGACGAAATAATAGTCAAACGAGGCAGTGCGCCCTTACCCCGTCAAGGCCTTGCTATGAATAGCCTACGTCCCGCACACCCTCGCCATGATGCCGGGGGACCGTTTGTGGCTCCTCTTTCCCGGAGTCACGCACACCCTCGCCGCGGTCTACAGCTTAGCGTTGGGAGATTTTTTCCAAGGTTTACTCCTTAGTGCCAATTTTGGTTCGCGCCGACTATTTGATTTCATCGGTACCACCCATATTTGGGAAGCCTTCCCCTATCCACCACCCGGGGACGCGCTGGATGGGAGATTGGCAACTCCACACCAGCTTATTATTATTATTATTATTATTATTATTATTATTATTATTATTATTATTATTATTATTATTATTATTATTATTATTATTATTATTATTATTATTATTATTATTATTATTATTATTATTATTATTATTATTATTATTATTATTATTATTATTATTATTATTATTATTATTATTATTATTATTATTATTATTATTATTATTATTATTATTATTATTATTATTATTATTATTATTATTATTATTATTATTATTATTATTATTATTATTATTATTATTATTATTATTATTATTATTATTATTATTATTATTATTATTATTATTATTATTATTATTATTATTATTATTATTATTATTATTATTATTATTATTATTATTATTATTATTATTATTATTATTATTATTATTATTATTATTATTATTATTATTATTATTATTATTATTATTATTATTATTATTATTATTATTATTATTATTATTATTATTATTATTATTATTATTATTATTATTATTATTATTATTATTATTATTATTATTATTATTATTATTATTATTATTATTATTATTATTATTATTATTATTATTATTATTATTATTATTATTATTATTATTATTATTATTATTATTATTATTATTATTATTATTATTATTATTATTATTATTAATTATTAATATTATAATTATTATTATTATTATTATTATTATTATTATTATTATTATTATTATTATTATTATTATTATTATTATTATTATTATTATTATTATTATTATTATTATTATTATTATTATTATTATTATTATTATTATTATTATTATTATTATTATTATTAATATTATTATTATTATTATTATTATTATTATTATTATTATTATTATTATTATTATTATTATTATTATTATTATTATTATTATTAATATTATTATTATTATTATTATTATTATTATTATTATTATTATTATTATTATTAATTATTAATATTATAATTATTATTATTATTATTATTATTATTATTATTATTATTATTAATTATTAATATTATAATTATTATTATTATTATTATTATTATTATTATTATTATTATTATTATTATTATTATTATTATTATTATTATTATTATTATTATTATTATTATTATTATTATTATTATTATTATTATTATTATTATTATTATTATTATTATTATTATTATTATTATTATTATTATTATTATTATTATTATTATTATTATTATTATTATTATTATTATTATTATTATTATTATTATTGCTTGTTCGAATAAGACGTATCGGATCCACGTGTACCTATAAAGTTGGATAACAGAAGTTTTGAGTTGTTTAAAATTGTGAAACATAGTGCATTACCAAGTTTTTAGTCTAGTGCACCTACAGTTCAATTGGCAAATCTGTGCAACTGAAATTAGACTAAATATCTTGAAAAATCTTGATCATAGTGATTTGTTCTACAAGAATTTGTGAGTACAATTGAAAACAATTAAAAACTTATCGCTTCTTTTTACATACACACCTGTGTCTATTCCACCACGGTTAACATTTCAGCAAGTTGGAACTTTAAAACTGCGATTTTAAATTTAATTTCGAATCTTATGTACTTGGCTTGTTAGTAACGACAATATAAAATTATCTACTATGTCGGAAAACACACCGGAAACCTGTATCAGATGTAAAAATTCCGTAAAAACAGGCCTGAAATGTATCAAATGTGGTAAACTATCCCATTCTTGCTGTCTTAAATTAATTAAAAGTGCCAAATTTTTGCTAGATGGTACAGTTACTTGCTGTGACAGCACTGTCGACACTGAAAAAAGAAGCCTGTCCCAAACGAAAAACTGGTGGATGTTTCAGCTGAGACGGATAAAATAAAAATAAAGTACCTAGAAGAATTATTAAAACAAAAAGACCTAACCATAAAAAAAACAGGAAGAACTGGTAGACCAGAAAGATCTAACCATAAAATGCTTGGAGACAGCGCTAACCTCTCTAAACTAGCAGATTGACTTACTAAAGGAAGCTAGAGTGAAAATGATTGCAAATAATGCAGACAATTCGAGTTTTGCAAATGCTTTAAAATTGGTCAACAATAATTCATCGACTGCAACAAATCAGTCCCATCCTTCGAGTAATAATATACAAATTTCTCCGGAAAACCAACTAAATCGGAAAATTACCCCATCAGCACTTTCTTCTGCAGTTCATATGGCTAATGCTAACACTGTATGTAATGAAATTATCAATCTCAATCATAACGTAAATCCGAGAAACAACAGAAGTCATAATCAATCTGATAATAAGAGAAGAAGACCTAATCTTCTGGTAGGCAGCAATGATGATGCCAAGACCTGCCCATTTAAAGCTGCCGCACCCCGTATAGTAAAGGAATTTTACGCTACAAATTTTGAGCCCGATGTTGATGTCGAAGAACTAGACAAATACATTAAAAGTTTTGCTCCAAGTGCCTCTGTAGAAAAATTGGATTGTCGATTTCCTGCAGTGTACTCATCTTTTAAAATTACAGTTGCTTCAGGGGAAGCGGATAAAATTCTTGTGCCAGAAATGTGGCCCAGTAAAGTATATTTGAAGCGGTTTTTTCCATCAAGGCGAATTAATTCACAAGTCAGAGTGTAACAAGTGGGCACCAGAACAAATAATACAGGACAATTCAATAAATTCCCAAACTTATTTGAAAATAGCAAACAGAGGAAATACAACTAAATTTCAAAACAATTTGATGACCTGTTCTGTATTACATCTGAATGTCCGAAGTATTGCTAACAAGGTTGATGAGTTAAATTTATATTTTAAACAGAACCAATACGATGTGTTCTGTGTAAGCGAACATTGGCTTTGTTATAATAATTTAAACAAACTAAAATTAGATCAATTTAATCTTATTTCTGCTTTCTGCAGGGAAAATAAAAAACATGGTTGGGTAGCAATTTTTTGTTCAAGTAAAATTTTAATGAAAGAAATTAATCTTAAAAAATTTTGCCTTCCCCTGCATGCTGAATTTTGTGGTGCAGAAATTAAACTATCTAAAAGTATACTAATCTCTATATACAGATCTTGTAGCCAGGGAGATTTAATAATATTTAAACAAAAACTATTTGCCATGATTGATTTTCATTTTATCAAATAAAAGCACATAATTCTAATGGGTGATATCAACTTGGACATGGAAAGTAATACAGAGCATGTCAAGGATATCCGGAATTTTTTTCATATGTATGGTCTCCAAAATTTGATTACAACTCCTACAGGAATTACAGCAACGACCAGTTCCTGTCTGAATAACATCATCACTAACATTAATCCTGATAAGATGGAAATGGGAGTATGTGAACCATTAATAGCAGATCATAGTGGTGTGTTTATTTCTATAAAAAATTGGTGCTATAAAAATACTAGTTACGATACAACTACTAAACGGGTTGTCAATAGTGATAGAATAAGTAAATTCGCTAATAATAATTAACAATTTAAATTGGTCTGATTTTTCAATGACTAATTATAGTGCAGATAATTTGACTAATTCATTACTAAATAACCTGTGTACGCAACGTGATATTTGTTTTCCATTTGAAGTTGTTCGTTCTAAAAATCAAGGACCGAAGTGGTTCAATGAGAGGCTGCGAGATATCAAAAAAAGTTTAAAAAATAGTAGAAAATTTTTTAATATTAGAAGAACCACAAGACTGGCAAACTTTTTGTAATTTACGCAGTGAATACAAACGTGCAATAAAAGAGGAAAAACGCAAAGCATATGCAAATATTATTGAAAATTCTGAAAATAAAAGTAAAGCCGTTTGGAGTTTAGTCAAGAAGGAAATTCCTACAAAAAGTAACCTCACTTCCTTGTGTCCTGAAGAACTTAACCATTTTTTCACTAATGTAGCAGATATCATTACAAAGTCAATTGAATTAGGAAATATTAATGTCAGTTCTCAATATTTTTTATCTAAATTACTTAGGCCACCAACTTCCTTCTTTATGGCACCAGTCATTGAGTCCGATATTAAAGAAGCTATATTATCACTTAAAAACTCAAATTGCCTTGATTATTATGGTCTAAACAGTCAAATGATGAAAGCTTCACTCGCAACACTCACTGAACCACTAGCGATCCTTTTCAATAAATGTGTGGTCGAAGGATATTGGCCAGATGCCTTAAAAATTTCAAAAGTTTTGCCAATTTTTAAAAAAGGAGATCCGGATATTCCTGACAACTTCAGACCTATTGCCATAGTGCCAATTATTTCAAAAACATTTGAAATTATAATAAAAGGAAAATAATTAACCTATTTTGAAAATAAAACGTTATTCACAATGACTCAATTCGGTTTTCGTAAAAAATGCTCAACGATGAAAGCCTTAATTGCAGTTATTGACAACATAGTTGAGGGCCTTGATGATGGTCATCCTACACACGCAGCAATGTGCGACCTCACAAAGGCCTTTGATTGTGTTAACGTCGAAACGCTACTATTAAAATTGGAACACTATGGCATAAGGGGAAGTATCCTGGAACTTATTAAATCCTATTTATCAGGGAGGATACAGCTTGTAAGCCTTAACGATATGGACTCACAGTTGCTTCCTATTAAAACGGGGTCCCGCAAGGCTCCGTACTTGGGCCAGTTTTATTTCTCGTCTATGTCAACGACCTCCCATCATCGTTGGGTAATACAGAATGTGTTCTCTTCGCAGATGATACTACCCTTTTGTCAAGAGATGGTGAACATCTTAGAGGAGAAATGCTCAAAACAGAGAAAACTTGGTTTAGTTGTAACAACCTAAAAGAGTCAAAAACACAGAACATAGTATTCAGTTCAGATAAATGGTCATTAAAATCAGAACCAGCAAAATTACTTGGTATAACTTTAGATACAAGTTTAAACTGGTCTAATCATATTGACGGCTTATGTGGAAGACTCTCCTCTCAGATATTGTGTTATGTCATACGGCATCCTACTGTGGGGAAATGCACCCAACTCGTACAAGGTCTTTAATTTACAGAAGGCTGCTGTCAGGACCAGTAATATGGTACCATATGATGCGCATTGTAGACCACTGTTCCATAAGTACAGGATTCTGCCCTTACCTTGTGTTTATATCTTAGAATCACTGGTCTTTATTCACAAAAATATTCAGAATTTAAAAAAGCACTCAGACATTCATTCATATAACACAAGGAATGGACAGAACCTAATTGTACCGTTCTCAAGGATAAGATCAACCCAGGTCAATAAGATAGACCTTAATCTATACAATAAATTTATTAGTATACATAATGACAACACTATAAAATCAATGAGCATTAACTAATTTAAAAATTTTTTGCTCAAGAGTAAGGTACGTTTATTTTTGACAAAATCGAAAATTTTCATTAAGAAAAGTTGATTAGAATTGAATATTACATTCAAATATGCAATTACACCGATCTATCTGAAAAAACAGATTTTCTTATTTCTACACATTGATTGTAAATATCTGAAAACGTTATAAATTACGTTATCTACTATAAACATGATACGCTTTCCTTTTGTTGATGTTTGTGAAGAATTTAGCAAATTTGTTAATGAAAATTTTCGATTTTGTAAAAAAATAAACGTACTTACTCTTGAGCAAAATTCATATTTTTTGACAAACCTCGTATACGGCTTGAAAAATTTGATATCTGATGACTGTATTTTAAGTTTTGGGTCATGCAGGACTTTTTATCAAGAATAACTTTTTTTTCTTAAAATCAATAATAAAAATGTTTTTCATATGGTTCCAACTTAAGTAGACACACTGTATAATCTGAATGATGCAATTTTTTAAAATTTCAAAACTTCAAGCAAAGTTTTTTTCTGCAAAGAGTGGGCTGCTCAGGTTGACTTGTGGTTTTTTTTTACCTATGATATATACACTTAATTCCTGAGGAACATAAGCTGCTAAGTCTAAGCAGTTAAGACGCTAGAGTCGATTGAAATTCACGAAAAATAGATCAAAAACCGCTCATTTTCAGCACGCTGCCGTTAATCAGAGGTATTGACTAAGCAAATTATCGATGCTTACACTTAAACTACTATCTTTCCCCCTCAGAGTTCCGCTTTAATAATGTACTTATCTACAAAAAGAAAAATTTCAGAAAAAAGTCGATAAGGCTTAAAATATCGATTTTTTTAAAGTCTTTATTTAAATAGGTGGAAAGAAGTGCTTACAAAAATTAAACTCGTGTAAATTTTCTTCTTTGGGACCCTAAGGAATAGTTCCTCAAAGTTACACCAAAATCTAAAATGGATCGGCAACAATTTTTTTTATTTTCAGACGATTTTGTATGGAATGACTCTAAAGCTTTAGATCCTCCATATAAAATAAATGTGTCACCTTGTGTGCTCTATTGCCATATGGCCCACAAGCGTATCCTCGAGTCTTACGAAGACTTACTGAAATGGGAAGCAGCTAGATACAGAATAACCAAGGACTGAGAGAGTCGCCTTGAATGTTATTGCCTCTGTTAATATCTTTTTATCCCCAGTTGATATAGAGAACCCTATTTTTCTGAGGGGCATTAGTTTTTCAGTGCACTTTTTTACTTGAGAGGACACTGTAATAGTTCTTAAAAGATGTAAAAGAAGCTCATGTGAGCTTCAATCGAAAGCATTCTTGTAATCAATCCAAGCTATTGACAGGTTTCGCTTGTAAAGAGTTAACAATTTTGGTTGATGGTTACATGAGAATTTTTTTCACCAGAAGTTGTTGAATCCTTTCAAGCCAAGTACTTTTTTGTTCCCTCAAATAATTTTTTGCCTCTTTCTAGGTGACCGGTGGGCTCGCATTAGGATTACCTTGAACACTGGAGCAGTAACTTTTGAATTCAGATGAAAAAGAAGTGTCTTGGTTAAATGGTTTTGTTACCGAAACTCACCACATCTTGAGTTGCTGGCCGGGGATGTTCCAGCAAACTGGATCACTTGTTCAAGAAATTTTAATTATCACTGATTACTCTAGCCTTTTTCTTCAAGCTGTTCTTTACTACTCCTAGGGTGATTAGCGTGGGCTTGTTTAATGTGTAATGCTCTCAACGTAGTTTTGCATATATATTTCTGATATTCATAGGAAATTGTTTTCTTGTCGAAATATACTCTATCTCTATAATTTTTGTTATTTATATGACTTCTCTAAAATTGCGTAATTAAAAAATTTGAAAAATAGTGTAAAATTTTAATATTTTAATATTTTCGTATATTACATAAAAAATGTTTCGAGTAAGATATGTGTGGAAAATGTATATATTTAGTTCCTCCTCTTTAGAGGGGTCATACAATAGGTTGTACAGAATAACCGAAAAAATCCTGTAATAACTAAACAGGAAAGTCATGTGTTGGTCACATCCGATTTTTTAGCATATCCCAGTTGTAAATGTACCATGGGTAGGTTTTTAACATAATACTTCTTAGTGAGTTTCATACTAAAAGTTTGCATCAAATTCCTCAATTTTTGCGTCCTGTCTTTTGCTTTTACATCCTTTGATTTTTTCTTTTAAACGAATTATTTTATCTATGAGATTCAATTATTAACAAACTGTTCTTTTCAGAACAAATTTATTAAATATTTAATAGTTGTGTTCGTTTGTTATATATCTATTCATTTAAAAATGCTAAAATAATTAAACAGTCGCTATAAAGTGCTAGTGGCATCTTTAGCAGTTTATTTTGAGAAAGAACGTGATAGTAATGATCCTCTGTTGCCTCCAGCAGCTGTTAGAGAAGTAAGTGGAATAATAATGTGTTTCAATATCAAATTAATATATTTTTTTCTTTTAGCTTGTAGCAGCAGCACGTAATCTCGATCTATTTACTGTTACTTATATATTACAAGCACTAAAGAACAATGAAGTTCTAAAGTCACTACCAAAGAAGCGCGCTAAGACAAAGAAAGTCACCAATACAAGAATAATAGATACCAGTGCTATTCGAGATATTATTTATAGCATGTACAATATGGACCGAAAAAATGAAAGTTAAAATTTTTGATTTATTACATAATTTAAAAACTGCGTTTCATTATAAAAACTGCTTGTAATTTTTTTCACAATTTGAATATTATAATTTCTGCCTTCCACGAGCTCCCAAAATAGCTAAAAATAAAATTAAAATTAAATGTAAAATTTTAATTAGCTATACCCATTAAAAGCTGTGTTTAAGCATATACACTGGTTGTTATTTTTTTTTTTGAAATTTTAGATACCTATGCGTTTTAAGCCCTCTAACACCCCCTTAGAAAATTTATAAAGACAGAAATTTACTTTCGTCATGACAAAATTGAAATCCCAATTTTTAGTAGAATTGTAAACCAACTATAAAAGCGCCCTTTAATATACAATTTTTTAACATCCCACTTCCACTCTTACATAAAAATAGTACCTACTTTTTAAATATTATATCTTGTCAATGTAAAATCACCTAAAACTGTAATCTATTTAAATAAGTAAAAACAAAATAACACCTGTTTATTATTAGAATTCGTAATTTGCAGTTGTTGTCGATGCAAGATTAAACACGTTTTCGGAGTTAGTTATAAATACACTTTGTCTTAGATTTAGGCAATATTATGTGAATAATCAGCGTACAGCAAACATATATTTATTCATACGCTATAAACTAATATATCAAAAATATAGTGGAAAAGAACCATGTTTTTTAGAAGTTTGCAATGAACTTGTGCGTAAAATTGAAATCATTTGGAAAGAAGCAACAATTCCAACTATTTCTAAAGACAGAATTTGTGCAATTAATACGGAAGTATTATGAAAAATATAACAATTTAATAAGATATCTCAAAAGCAAGCGAAACAATAGCTATGACAAAAAGATGAATATATTTTAAATAGAGCGTCTAAAAAATTACTTGACATAGCTGCATGTAAATGCGGTTTTTCTGCATGCATGTGTGAAAAGACCCGAAAAGTACCTTCTAAGGAACAAGATTTTCTTTCTGAACAAAGATCGGTCAGAAAAATGAGCATTAGAAATGTAGATCATGAAGAAACAAAGAAAATATTATCAAATAAACAAAGGCAATTCAGAGAAATCGAAAGACAAAAAAATATGAATCAGAATCTTGCAATTTATTAAGACCCAGCTGTTCTTCTGAAACTACTACATTATTATCAGGGTCAAAATCTGACCCCTCAAAATATCAATCATTTCAAATTACGACTCACCCTCTACCTTAAATAACACTCAAATGAGATAAATATAGTATATCTGATGAATCAGCTCCTTCAATTGCTAGTGCAGTATTAAAAGATGTAGGAATAATTACCACAGAAGATCCGTTAACAAGAGCTGATAAAAAAGTGAGTAGAGAGCAAAAGAAATCTAGAAATACCGCAATGAAGGAGTTTGAAAGTGATAGCAGAATAATAAGAAGTCTGTATTTTGATGTAAGAAAGGATAAAACTTTACTGCAGAAAAATAAAAACGGTAGATTATACAAGAAAACTGTTGTCGAAGAACACATATCGCTTATCGAGCAACCTGAATATATCTATATTGGCCACATAACTCCAACTACAGGGACGGAAAAGTCATTTGGAAAAGCACAATTGAATTTTTTTGATAAAAACAATTTGGAACTAGATAATTTGGCTGCTGTGGGTTGTAATGGTACTGTTGTTAACACCGGTAGTAAAAAAGGTGTTATTAAGTATATTGAGCAGTCCTTTATAATGGTATATTTGCCAACTATACGCCAGCCAATTGGCATTAAGACATTCATTCCATGATTTAGATGGCAGCATAGTGGGACTTCGTCAATATTCTGGTGAAATCAGGATGTCTTTCGAACAATGTGAACGTTTTGTTAATTTTACCCCAATAAAATGTGAGTTGCCAAATATGACTGTAATGTCCAGAGATTTAAGTTCTGATCAATAATATTTATATATTTGCTATGCAATATCAAGAGAGAGAGAGAGAGAGAGAGAATATATGTTTATTGTCCAAGTTAAAATACTTATTGACAAACACAATATTGTACAAATTACAAATAAATAAATAGTCATACAAACACAATATTGTACAAATAGTATACAAATTACAAATAAATAAATAGTCATTAAAATATAAACAAACATTATTATAAATTAACATTAATACATACATCTAAAATAAAATAAAATACATATCACAGTGTCTCGTCATTATAAAATTCTATAATATTATAATAAGGCCTAGTTAACAGAAATCTCTTGAGCAGCTTTCTAAAACAATTCTGTGACTCAACATCTGTCAACGTATGTGATAACCTATTGTACATTTTGATACCATTGTATATAAAAGAGTCTCTTATTAGTTCAGTTTTGGGAATAGGCAACTTCAAGTTACCCGTTTGGCGATAATTTTTTCATTGAATTTAGCATACCGTAATCCTAGGAAATTAGCGCACTCTAGATGGCTCACAATGGCAAATCGAGTTCTTCTATAAGCATTTTCGGAAACTTACTCAGATCAGAAATATTATGGACCATATTGTTCGTTTACCTATGGTTACTAACCTTATCCGTGTTCGGAAACTAGTAGATTACTGATCCATCTTTGTGATCGAGATCAATATTTTGTGACCCACTCTACGAGTAGATTAGTAATAGATCCACGAGCGCATCGCAGGATTTTATAAAGGGATAACGCAAGTTTTTGGTGTTTGGTGTCTGCCAGTAGTAGATTTGAAGTTTTTTTTACATTCGATTGTAATCTTAATGCCCATCTTGCAACTTTATTATTCAGATTACAAATATGTTTAATTAAAATGGTTCTTTAAAGCTTGACAGCCGTAGATAAACAGGATCGATAATCCAACTCGTTCGTAAACTGTCGGCACTAAGTTCAGTGATCCACGTGATCCATCGGGTAATACGAGTAATCTGGATTTGTTATCTATAGTTGGTTTCCGAAAATGCCTTATGCTGGAACGGAAAAGCCAACATCAAGCCTTTCGGATATGGCCGAATCCATAATTAAAGTGTATACCCCATTAGGGTTTATTATTAAACAAAATTTCAGTTCCACTAGTGGTAGTTTGCATGTATTTAAAACGATTGAACTGTCACGGTATTTAAAATATGATTTAGAAATTATTGTGAATGCGGTAATCCGAAGGAACGCGTATTTTATATACCCCGAAAACATTCTTTTGTGTATGCTAACAGATATTTGTGAATGGGTTTGGGAACTATCTCTACGAAGAATCTTAAAAGCTAGAGAAACCAGTCCAGAAACCGTTGAAGTAAGACATTTTGTTCAGACCACATAACCAAGAGGTACTCTTTTAATACTCCATTTGAGGTTTTAATACAGGAAAGAGCGGAGATCACCATAAGGGAGCCCAATGCCCAACGACAGGAACAAACCTGGTATACAGACGGGTCTAAGACTGCGGAAGGCACTGGGGCAGGAGTATTCCACAAAAACCCTGATACTAACCATAGCTATGCTATAGGAATACATTCCTCGGTATTTCAGGCCGAGGTATATGCAATTTTGCAATGTGCAAAAACGAACAATGAAAGTGCTGTCGAAAATCAGCATATTTAAATAATGTCAGACAGTCAAGCGGCACTTAAGGTCATATCGAGTCAGAAAGTTACGTCGAGGCTGGTATGGGAATGCATCGAAGAACTAAGAACACTGGCAGACCAAAATAGAGTAAAACTATTTTAGGTGCCAGGTCACCAAGGGATCGAAGGCAACGAAAAGGCTGACGAACTTGCAAAAAGAAAGTCAGTAGAAACACCGAAACCAGACACAAACCCAGAAGTACCAAAAAGTACAGTCCAAGGTTTCATAAACGACTGGATTCGGGAACAACATATCAACTATTGGGGAAACACCCCAAAACAGGCTCATGGAAGAGCCTTCATAGGCAAACCATGTCCCAAAAGAACTGAAGAACTACTCTCAATGAATAGGAACCAGTTAAAAGTGATAACAGGGCACGACTGGGCACGCCCCAGTAAAGGCACACTTGAACAAAATTGGAATGTACAATGGAGAACTCATGTGCCGACTATGTCACAAGAAACCAGAAACGGCCAAACACATACTGTGCGAACGCGAAGCTCTAGATCGCAAAAGATAGGCTCTTTTTGGACAACCCCAGGTTGATCCAACAACGTATAGAACCCGCTCGCCCAAGGATCTGTACAAACTTGTACAAGGTACAAGGGTAACAGAGTGGGTGCTATGAACTAACATGGGGTAAAACACAATAAGCCAATAGGCTTTAGTGTTATTCGGAGATACATAGTCAAACAAGCCCAGGAGAAAAAAAAAGACATTTGTGGTACCAAAAATTAATTTCATTACTGTAGGAATAGGGACCTTATAAATGAACACGAAATTCCAAACTTTGATTTTCCGAAGTTCCTTTGCCACACTCAATCCGTGGAATGATGCGTTAAATTAGTTACAGAGTCATCTTCCTTAGTAATTGGTAGATAATCAAGAGACTGCTTTAATCGCTCAAGAATAAAATCAAAATAAATTATACCCATATTTGAAAGTAAACGACTGTTTAAAATTGGGGATGGGACGTTTCGCCGTCGCCGTTTCGCCATCGCCGTTTCGCCGTCGCCGTTTCGCCGTCGAGCCAGTTTGCCGTCGCCGTTTCGCCGTCGATTTTTTTTTGCATCAGTAATTGAAAATTATTGGCATGTTCAATTTGAGAAAGATCTTCTGTCAATATTATTTACTAATTAAAAAAATTCCATATCTGAGTTTTAATTTCTTATTTTTTTCGTGATAAATCTGATGTCTTAATAATAGTTTTCTTTTGGATAGGTATTTTGGATTTTTATAAATCTTTTTTTTGTACTTGATGTGTAAGCTTTTTATATTTGATTTGTAAGCTTTTATGTTTGATTTGTTAGCTTTTTATATTTGATTTCTTTAGGTATTTTTACTATTTTTTAGAAAAATGTGTTATTTAGTTTTATTCGTGTAATATTTATTTGTTCAAATAATTTTTACCTTATCTTTTAAAGATAAAAGCAATAAACATTGATTAAAAGGTGTAGTAGAGGGCTGAAGATGTTTAAAAATATTAAAAATAAAGAGTGTGAATACAAACACTAAAATGTAACTTTCTTTAGGTATTGTAAGTCAAAATAATAAACTTTAACTTTTCACCCCTAAAGGGGAAAGCAGAAGGCTAAAAATTTTGATGAGGAAATTTTAAAAAAATTACGAAAAGAAAGCACAGCTAAACGCAAGTCTTGATAGGTACCGTAAACTTAATTTTTATATTTTTTAAAAATATGCCTATTTCGGTCTAGCTTAATGTAGAAGTCGAATAAGTGTGAATAAATAAATAAATTAAAAGATTCTGTGTTGGTGAATCTCAATGATAGAGAGTTGTTTAATAGATGTCGCATATCATTGCATACCTTATTATTAGAAAAAGGTCTCAAATGGCAGAAAGATGAACCAATGCGAGTTAATATGAAACTTCCTGCTGTTGCTTTAAAACGGGCAGGATTAAAAAAAATATGCCAAAGAAAAGGAAGCAAGTTTTTATTACTTCGTTTATATTGGATTTTCCAAATTGGTACGACAAACCGTTCTTGGAAATGCAGCAATAAAAGATGTAAAAATTACAAGTTGATGGTAAAAAAAACTAAGAAATATATACATGTTACCTTTACAATATCTTTTTTACAGATATTGTATAGAACCGAATATGATGGTGCCAAAGATATATTTGCGTCAAAAAGCAATTAATGTAATTATTATGGTGATATGAATAACGAAAAATTTTTAAAATGGTTTAAAGAACAATTGCTCCGAAATCTTTGAGAACTATGTTTAATGGTAATGGATAATGCTTTTTATCTAGCACATTGGCACATAAAACACCAAATAGTAATTGGATAAAGTTCCAATTCAAGAGCGGTTGACGAATGAGAAAATAGCTCATTCATTTACCATATTTAAGGCTGAATTTCTGAAACATGTTGTGCGGCGAGTAACTGAAATCTATTTTTTATGATTTATTTTTTTAGTAATAGGCCACGAAAAATACATGTAGCTGATGAGTTAGCTTAAAATCTAGCTGATGAGATAGCTGATCAGTTTATACATAAGGTATTACGTCTTCCTCCTTACCATTGTCTTCAATCCAAAATAATTAATTTTGGGCATTTCAAAACTGTATTATAACAGACATATTGGTCGGGATGGCAAGACACAAGTCAGGGAGATTGTACAAACATGTGGTCTGAAGTACTCTGAACCATAACTCCTTAAATGTGGAGACAAACTAAAAATTACATTTTTAAATGATTTGAAAGAGAGCATGTATGTGACAAGTTCGAAATTGCTAACATAAATGATTCTGTTAGATTTCAGAATAATCTTTTAGCCTTTAGCGTCAGCCTTTTCACTTTTAGAAAAAGTTTCAAAAAACTAACGGATACATTATCTGAGAGTTATTATATGACAATTAAATACGAGAAATAATTAATAGGGTAAGTATAATTTTTTAATGTTATATGGTTGTGTAGCTACTTGTTTATATATCAGTCAAGTAGTTTATCAGGAATTTCAGGGGTAAGATAAGTTATCATTCAGAGGTTAGTTATATGCAGTAGTAAAAAGATAATTGTCTTAGTTACCTGGGTGTTTAAAATTTCGTGACACTTTATCTGAAGG